AGCACAGGGCTCCTCAGCGAGGAACTAGGCCACAGCCCTGCCCGACCCCATCTCTCTCCTAGGGCAGCATTTACTTGAGCTAAAATAAAGCTGTTTGTGGGTCAGGGATTTAGCTCAGTGGTTCTGCTGACTGCCTAGCAAGTGCAGTTTGACCCCCAATAACAACAACAACAAAAAAAAGCTGTTTACAATCTGCATCATGGCAAAACACACACATATACGATTTTAATTTCTTGCTGAAAAGAAATGACACTTTTATTTTTCCACTGTTTTATTATAAAAATCAACATTTCATGTTACAATTCAGCTTATTGTCATAATCAAAAGGATTTATACAAGGTATTTTTATACAGTTATAATTAAAGCACTTATTTTACAAAAAGGGGAAAGTGGAAAGGGGCTGACCAAATGTTGGCCATTATAATATAAATACATCCTTGCAAAGCACCATCGTACCAAAGTCGATGAACAGAAACACCAGTTGACTTTAAGATAGTGACAAAGATTAAAGCTTAAGAAAAAGTTTGAAAACATAAAGGATAAACATCTGAAAGCAGCACCAGATCCTTCACTTGCAAGTAAGGCTAGTTCAGTTTAAGCTTCATGGTATTCTCTTTCTCTCCAATTTTTAATAACCCAGATTCTTAACTTCATATAATACTGGATTGAATCTGACTTTTTCCTTTATATTCCTTTTAATACCCATATTTAGGGATTGATGTAAATAGACATATGTATCTCCACCAATTAGTATCTCTAACCCTTGATAGAGTGCATTAAAAAACAAAACAACCCAAGTGGACAGTTAAGCAAAAGTACATTGTTTCTAATTCTTTGGTGTTCACTTCTGGGAAAACTCTAGGTGGTGGTGGTAATACACTGGTTAATTAAGTCTGTATTCCACTTCTGAGTATAAGAAATCACTGAGTTTGTAATTCTTTCTATAAAGTCATAAAGATATTTTTCAGCAATAAAACTAAGAATGACTTAAGAATTCCTCATGAAAGAAAAAATGGTACATTTTACCTCAATAAAGCCTGAGATTTGATTCTAAGTCATTAAGATAAACCTATAAATCTACCTCCCCTTCCACTCAGATCCAGGCCTAATCTAATGAGATGAGATCAAGTCAAAGAGAAATACCCTGAGGATATGGACTCACAGGCCCATCATTTACTTTTTTAAAAAAAATTATATATGTACAATTTTTACGTCCCTGTCCAAAGTTCTTTACTCTAAAACTTTGAATTACAAAAGCCAAATTTTGAGACAGAATAATGACGCCATTGGAGAAGTCAGAAATCACACATAAGCTACCAGTACTTTCTCAAGTCAGAATTTCTCTTGGCCTATTTTAGGCTGGAGGTAAGGAAAGAACACCAAATAAAATTACATTTTTTGAGTTTAAGAAATTACAGGCACATTCCTGTAATCCTAGCACTCTGAGAGGCTGAGGCAGGTGAATCACAAGGCTGAGCAGCTTATTGACTTAGGAAGATCCTATCTCAAAGGTAAAAAAATGAGCTGCAAAGCCCTTGGATTCAATCTCCACAATTCTAAAACAAAAACCTGGTATGTTTTCAAAACTTGATTATAAACTTCTTTAGGACTCAGTCTACATCTATGCTTAGTACACAGTCGCATGTGTGGATCCCAATTATTAGCTAACCAACTAATATCCATACACCCATATCCGATTTCCAGACAAGCCATGCACTCCATACACACAGAAATAGGCAAGGCAAAATCATGACATATTTGGGGGTACGAAAAATTTAAAATTTTTGTTTCTCCATCTTGCAAAATAGGTGTAATTTTTACAACTTAAATACTGAGTGAGTTGCCCTTATACAAAGTATCAAGTTTAAGGTATTTTAAAATGATGAAAAAATAAAACCCTCAATTATATTAAAATTTTACTGTTCAAACAACCCTCCCCAGCCAGGTTATGTGGTACTGTATACCATAATCCTACCTCTCAGGAGACTGAGGCAGGAGAATTCCAAGTTTGAGGCCAGCCTAGGCTACATGATAAGTTTGAGGTCAGCTTGACCTATATAAAAAGGCTCTGTCTTGGGCTGGGGCTTTAGCTCAGTGGTTCCACCACCTGCTTCACAAGCACAAGGTCCCAAGTTCGATCCCCAGTACCACACACACACACACACACACACACACACACGCTCTCAAAATACAAAAAATTCCCCCTAAATTACTGGCCTACATTAGGTGAAGATGTACTTTAATTGAAGCCTTCATTTCTAATCTACTATCTTTTTTCTCAAACTTGTTAAAGGATCAAATTGTCTTTTGGTGGTGGATCACAACGTGTTTTTATATTAGAATTAAAATAAATATACCTTTTGGCTAAACAGACTTCTTTCAATATGTAGTACAGAAGAATGGCAGCAAGTGCCAAAGCCGTAACAGAATTTCATGGGAGAAAAATTAATACTGAGAACATACTATCCAATGACTCTATTTTTTCAATGTTAATGTGCCATTATCCGACAGTGTTTCTGCCAGCTTGAACCGCCAGTGGGAATGCAATGAGCTCAAAATAAAAGCCTCCATGCAAAAAGACATGAACTGTGGTCTCCTCCTGAACAGGCAGCAAATCCCTGGGCTCTGAGGCAGCAAGGTTGAGAACCCCAATTACAAAAGACCAATCCCAAAGAGCCTGCTGCAGTGCAGTGAGTGATATCAAAGTTCACTTCCCAGATAAGATTTCAGTATCAGTAAGTAGGCATACTTTTGAATAGTGAAGCTCATTATACACCAAGCTTATAATCTCTCTTCACTGTTTTCCTGACTTGTGTTCTTATGTTCATTTTTCCAATTAAAACTGTGTTTAGTAATCAAGATGTACTTTACTTAAGCGTAACTGTCCGTGTAACCTGAGGATCAATAACTCTTTCCCAAATTTGACAATCCTCTCATTAAAAGTATTATTATTATTATTATTTTGGTACCAGGGATTGAACTCAGATCCTTGAGCTTGCAAGGCAGGCAGCGGAAGCACTGAGCTAAAATCCCCAGCCCTACTCTCAGAAATATTAAGAATCAATCTCAACAATCCCAGAAAGAGGATACTGAGATTAAGCTGAACTGCCTTCAAATAATTTCAAACAAATTGGCACACAAATTAGTATTCTGCAAGAAGAGGCCATTGCCTTCGCAGTACAAGCACTTGGACTGAGATAAAACAAGGCGATATTCTTAATTCATTATAGTGCAAGGTTCCACATGGGAAGCACACCAGGTAAAGATGCATATTAAACATGTAAACATACAGAATTCTCGAATGCTCACTGATACCCAGTTATTGCTAACCTTCCATCCTCACTGAAATATCCACTGCCCATGTGTCACAGATCGGAAGGTCAATGTCCACTTTGCCTAGACCACAAGCACTTTGTTCCAGCAAAACGAAGCGGCAATGCTCCTCTGACTGAGATAAAAGACACTGATGGATCACCATTTGTGTATAGCAAAATCAAGTGCACCTGGCTCTTTTAAGTTGCCCCCCCAACATTCTGAGCATTAGTCTGAGACCGTATTTTTTCCTCTTTAAAAATGTTACTTACTTTTTCTAATTGCTTAAAAGGTTATTTCACCCCTGCCAAAATTCTGAACCCTTTGTTGATATTTGCGGGGAGCTCCGATTACCAGAGGCCTCACCAAGACAGAGTGGAGAGAGAGAGAGAGAAAGAACACTAACTCGCCGATATCTATTAATATAAAAGCACACCAGTTTGAAAAACACACTCAGTTGTAGCAGAGCAGTACTAGACACATGTAAAAAGCAGGAAGCTAGCTTCTGGCACGAAGGCAGAGCAGTGCTAAAATCATTCCACAGGTCAGCCCTGACAGCTGAAGATGTAGCAGCCCCAGTACCATACACAGCAGGCCAGGCAGGTTCCATAAGAGACTTCCGCTACGCCCTCCACCCAACTTCTGACAGCTGAGAAGTTAATGGTTTATCTTCTCATTTAATCCCCACTGTTAAATTTCTTAAATTATATTAATCCATAATGGGGTAAGAGAGAACACACATAAAAATATATGAGAATATTATAATAATAATTTGAAAACAATCTAACTTTCACAGTAAGTAACAGGAAGGTATTAAACTCGTGTCACACGTTAGAAGAGGTATGCATGTAGACATCGTTCTGAGAAAACCTGGTCTAAAGATCGTGACAATGTCACAAACAGTTAATATAGGAAAAGCTAATGGTAACACACATATACACACAAACACTTTTTAAATAGTCTCTAACCAGAACATAGTTAAATGCTTTACTCAAACATATATAAAAATGATTTTATATTGTGATATTATGTGTTGAAAGTACTGCAAGGATAAATGATTTAATTTACAACAAAAACATAATGGTTAGACTTGTAGATCTTAAAACACTGTCTATATGTGTTGTAAAAAGACATTATTTAGCACTAAATCTTGGATGTAAAGAGGATCAACAATATGGCTAACTTTTTATTATTAAGCAAAAACAGTGGTCAGATTGACGAGCTAAGCCTGCTGGGGAAGGGAGCTGGTAAAATATTAGAATAAAGCCCTAATTCCAAAAATCCCATTTAATCAACTCCTCAGATAAAAAGCTTGAATAAATCATGGTTTCAGGGGCAAAATGGCCTACAGCATTGTAGCGGGAGGCAGCAGTGTGGAAACACCTAGAAAAAAACTTTCCTTTGATAGCGGTGTGGGCTCTAAGGTAGGGACAGAGACACAGTGCTGCGGTGTACTAGACAGAGGAGCTCTCCTGCAATGGCAACACCCAGAATGGGTTTTGGTAGACTTATTTTCCGCAATAAAATGGTTGGATCCCTAAACAAAGCAAAGCCCTTTGTCCAATATTATTACTATTTTTTTTTCATGCTTTATCTTGGGTCTCAAAAATGTTAACTTCAAGGCTAGCTGGCTACTTCCAAGTAGGAATGGTTTGCTGCTCTGGGATAGACTTAATTTTTTCTTTTTCTTTAAAAAAATTTTTTTGGTATCAATACAGCCCAGACATTCCTGGTCAGTGATGCCTTTATAATTCCTGTTTCCTTTGTACTCAGTCACTTTACTGGGTTTAAGGCATGCTCTGTGTATTCAGTTTGCAAAAATAAAACTTAGTACAAATTTATTTTTTATACAAACTTTTATGGCACAAGCAGTAAATCTGCTGTTTTAAGAAAATATATAAATATCCTTTCTTCTGTACAAATATCTCCAGTATTCCCTACCCATTTTATAATTTTAACTGTACATGGTCTGCCTCATCCTTCTCTAATAGTTCCCTCCCCCCCTCCAGATCTCAACCAAATGTGTATTTACATTCTTCATGGTGGAGGCAGTCAGAGGAGGAGGGCCCCTCCTCAGGAGGAGTCTGTGCAGGGCGAGGGTGGTGGCGGGTAGAGGTGATGGGAATAGCTCCTCTCTGTGTATGGAGAAGGGGGGCAGCTTTCATAGTTCTCCTCTGCTGACAAGTACTGGCTCCGGGGCGTGGGTGGTGGGGGCACAGGTTCTGAGTCATAGTTCAAGTCACTGGTGTAGCCTTTGGCTGTGGCCCCCGAGGTCATTCTCCGGCTAGGAGCATAGTCACTGTCACAGACATCTGTGCTGCAGGGTGTGGTAGGGGGAGCAAAGTGCCGGTAGCTGTATGGCCTGTAACTGGAACAGGGAGAAAATAAAGAGAAACTTAGTTTTATAGAAAAATAACTATCAGAATTCAGAGATATTAGATGTAAATTTCACTTGAAAACTGAGCTTCTGCGATTGATATCTGTCCAGATCAAGAGGTAATCTTCAATGGCTGAGGAGGACAGAATATATTCTTGTGTTGGCAAAAGCAGAGGCTGGTGAAAATGGGTACGATGGGAAAACAGGCAACTCGATCTAGCCTGTGGATGTGCTCCTCCATCCTCAAGTTAAACTGTGTGACTGAGTTTAAACAGGGCTCTTCAAAGCTGTATTGGGCTGCAGCTGCAGCTCAGTGGTTAAGCATGTGCTTAGCATACATGAGGCCCTGGGTTTGATGCCCAGCATCTTATTGGGAAGGAAGGGAGGAAGGGAGGAAGGGAGGAAGGGAGGGAAAGAGGGAGAGAAGGAGGGTGGAAGGGAGGGAGGGAGGAAAGGAAGGTTTTTTTTGGGGGAGGGAGGGAGGGAGGAAGAAAGCAAGTTCTACTGGTCATCTTTAGAATTATATATTTTGTACTTAGTTTACAGAAGACTACTGATTTCACCTACTCAAACATGTTAGCATTCTTTAACTGATCATAATTTACCTGACAAATAATTTAATGATATCTAAAAACTTTATTTCTTATTTTAAAAGTCAAACACTGTACAATCGAGGCTGGGTTTCAGTAGACAGCCTACAGAGCCTAACTATCCCACTACTGTTAGGATCAGGAAAAGAAAACTTATTTGGAGAAACAGTTCTGATTCTTTCTGTAAAAACAGGTATAATGTCCTAAGAGCAGCTTTAACCGAACATCAAAATGATACATTTTAAATATTATAAAGGGCCAGGGAATTTTATAAATGATCTGTTGGTAAATCTGTAGCAAAACACTGAAAAGAATAATGTACTTGTGAAGATAAGAGCTGACATAAGTGCTGGCTTCTGTCTTTCCTACTTCTATTTCCAACTTCTTACACATTTTTATTCTGAGTACTTATTTCATATTTATCCCAACCAAAAGTTTATGCATAAGCTTTGTCACCAAACTGAAAGACTGTGAGAGAATGGACAAGAGCACAAAAACTGGTTGGATAATTCCCAAAATACCTGATGATACAGAGGAACGAGATAGTATCCCAGGACCCACACCATCTGTTACCACTCCACCTGACTTCAAAAGAAATGCCTGCCAGAGAGGGTAAGTTGTACGACCTGCCAAGCAGGTTCTCAGAAGCTTTTACTATCAGTAGCGACATGCTGTCTTAAGGATTTTTGTTTTATCTATTCACTCCAACAGGTGTCAAAGCCTTGGTGAAATTTCCTACTTCTATTTTTAAAGGGCAAATACTTCCATTTTCATGGAGTGGGGAAGTGAATGAACAAAATTCTTGAGACAGATCTAAATGATAAAGAATAAATAGAAAGTGGGCTTAATTTGAGATATAGGAAATGGTTAAATAACAATAATTTTAAGTGTGATTATGTTTATTTTGATCAAACATTTACTCATTTTGAATTCAAGTGTTTTTAAAATAAAATTTCAGATCTTTCCTTTTGCTTTTCAACTTTCAGACTTCTGCTGTTCTATTTGGCTTTATAGGACAAACTCTTGGCAGGGACAGCAACATTACAACAAATTGGAAAAACATTCCATTGAAAGTCAAGCCTATGTCACACAGTCTTATCTCAACTGAAAAGGGAGTTCTCAATGACACTCTAAACAGTTTCCACTGCATTTCCATTCATAAACGAGGTCAGAGAAGGTCAACTTGACTGAAATGCTAAGAATCACCCTTCAGGAAGATAACTTGCACTGAGGGTCACCCATAAACAGCAGTCTCTGTTTAAAGAGTACAAAGCTGTTGACTTTTGCTGACCTTTCAAATGAAGTGGAAGAGTACGGTGGACAAAATACTAACTGACCTGTCAACATGCTCCATAGACTCACAAATTGGGAGAAAGGTTTTCCCCTGCTGTGGCTTACAAATACAATTCATTTATTTTAGTTAGTCTTAATTTATTCCATGCACCTAAATAAGAAATCTTTCATCCCAGATCACTATAGCACATGTAAGCAAGGGCTGACCTTACATTTTTCTTGAATTCTCTCAGATTCTGCGCTCTTGGTACACCCTGCTGGATGAGAGCTCTCCAACTCTGTGAACCAGCCCATACCCGATATTTGGAGGGGGAAGGGAAGCACTGGGGATTGAATTCAGGGGCATTCTACAAATGAGCTACAATCCCAGCCCTTTTTATTTTTGACAGGGTCTTGCCAAATTGTCCAGCCAATCCTTGTACTTGAGATCATCCTACTTTAGTCTCAGAGTAGATCGGATTATGGGCCGGCACCACCAAATAGCACCAGTATTCCACCCTAGAGTATCAATCTTACTGAACACCAGCGGTAACTTATTTAGAATCAGTCACTTTGCTCAGTAAACTTTCTTCAGAACACTGCCAAAACCTGGACCCTGTTTCATTACTGTTTATGTTTTTTTTTTAAGACAGTCTCTCGCTAGGTGATTCAGGCCAGTCTTGAACTATGTAGCCCAGTCTCGCCTCAAACACAAACTCCTGCCTCAGACTCCCAGGTGCTGGGATTAGAGACTTGCGCCTACATACCTAGCTATTTCATTATTCTAAAAGCCAGTATTTATGACTTTTTAAAAAAAATGCCCTGAAAGAAAAATTGTCAGAGGGGCAATGTCAGCATTGCCGATATTCTCTCATCAGTGACCACCATCTTTTCCTTTTTTTTTTTTTGGGTACCAAGGATCAAACTGGCATCCTTGAGCTTGCAAAGCAGGAGCGGAACCACTAAACTAAATCCCCACATTTGACCATCAACTTTTGATTTGGAATTTATCAAGCCCAAAAGTAGAGTCCTTCCCTTTTTTGCCCCCTCCATATTGGGAGTTAAACCCATGATCTCATGTATGGTGGAAAAGCACTCTGCCACTGAGTCATACCCCCGCCCCCAGCCCTTTTTATTTTTTGAGTCAAGGTCTTACTAAACTGCCTACACTGGCCCTGAACTTGCTATCCTCATTTTTTTTTTTTTTTTGGTACTGGGGATCGAACTCAGGACGTTTTGCTTGTGGGGCAGGCAGTGGAACCACTGAGCTAAATCCCCAGCCCTGAACAGCCATCCTTCTGCCTGACTCTCTGCAAGCAGCTGGATTACTGGTGTGCACCACCACGCCACTTGCTTCTTCCTTGTAGTAAGCATTTCCACTTCCATTAAAAGAGGATGTGGTATATTACCTGTACGACCTGTGAGTGGACGGACTGTTTGAAGAATAACCAAATTCCATAGTGTAATGTGATCGCTCTGTGGCAGGGGATGGTGGTGGGTTCAAAATCTAAAAGGAAAAAGAATTCAAATATTAAAGTCACAATACTCAGAACCAGACAGAGACTTAATACATTCTTTCATCCTCTAGTCTTACTGTTTGTTCTCCAAGGATTATTAGCAAAATTCTCCTTTTCCAAAGGACTGACCTCAAACAGTACTTAAGGATTCTGGCTCCCTTTCTCTAAAATAATTTCATTATGGCTAAACAGCACAAAGTGATTAAAGAAAATCTATTATCTTCAAATCGCAAGTTTAGATGAGCTAGGATTTGTTGTTTTAAAATTATGTTCAGAGAAAAATGACTGATTTAGAAGATCTAGGTGCGCTTTTTAAGGAAATTAAGAAATGAAGGTTCTAAGTCTCTCAAGATGTACATGGGTCCATTTTTACTTGAAATGTGAAATCAATGCTGAGTGTTTTTAAATACACTTGTTATCTATATAGAGAGGGTGGTGGTTGTAAATCCTTTAAACTTTATTCCCAAATTCTGTATTAAAAAACTATTTCTACATTACCATCACCAAATACCCACACATTTAAATGAGATAATCTAAGACACTGTATTTTAGTATTCAGAGAAAAACAAAGGAAAACTGACTACTTACTGCAGGGAAGTAAGTGCCTTTGGTGCTTGAAGAACTGCTTGATGATGCGCCCGTGACATGTGCTCGATCATAAGGTGGTCCACTGCTTCCCCCCATAATACTGAGGGAGCTGATCATTGATTTACCTCGAGACATTCCTAACAGAAAGGGAATAAAAACTGAAGATGAGTGAGATCTATAAAAATGCATGGAGTAACTTTATGGTTTGTATCTAGATGTCCCCCAAAACCTCATGTGATCACAGGTGGGCTTTGGGCAGTGACTGTATGGTGAGGGCTTGACTCTCATCAGTGGACTAACACTGATGAGCTGACAGCTACAGGCAATGTTGCACAGTGAGGCCTAGTCATAAAGGGCAGGTCCCTGGGGGTGTGGCCTGGAAGAGTCTACCTCCCGCCTGCCTCCCTTGATTTCTCTGCTTCCTGCCACTATACCATGAGCTGTTTCTCCACTGTCAGCCACACTGTCTTGGAGCCTTGAAGCTGTGAGCCAGGACAGACCTTGGAGTTGTGGCTATCGGGTACTATTCTCAGTAAGTACAGTAACTAAGACAACACCAACAGTCTACTTAAAAACTCATGCCCTCTTTTCCTAATAACAACTGGAGATGGTTAAAGAAGAAAGAATTTCTAGAGAATGTTCTCTAGAAGTGAATGCTTCCACTGAGAGAGGGCCTAGAACAAGGCCGAGAAGAGTTCCCACCTTCTCCCTACAGTGAGAGGTTTTCAACAGCCTGGACAGAGCTGAAGGGAACAGGACTGCGAAGGGTGCAGGCTGGAAAACAGCGTGGCTTAAATAATAAGACTTATTCAAAAGGAAACAAAGCTATTTTTTAGGTCATAAAACAATATATGGATAGTACTTCTTTGCCTACTAAATGCAAATATTGCTGGAATCAAAACCACCAATGTTAAGAAATTCTATTTTTTCCAAGTAGCTTTCCAAATTTCACTTGCTGAAAATAGGTATGGCAACAGGAAACACTTTCAGCTGAAATTCGATGTCTGTTTACTTAAAAATTTTACTCAGCCTAAGTTCCTATTTTCATAAGTCTTTGGCCAGGCACCACTTCCTCTATTTTCATTAAAAGGAAAGCTTTTCACTAAGGGCACCAGGAAAACATTGAAAATAAAGCTATCCTTTCCCGGAGCAATGTGGCCTACTCAAGCATAGAATTTCTGTACACTGGGCTGTGACTACAGCAGCACTGCTGTCCACTGTCACCTCTTTAAGTCAGGAGAAAATGATAATGTGTCTTTCTCTTCTATCACTCAGTTCCAAATTTTTGCCTGCTGAAGGGAGGCTTACCCTGGCCTACTTTTAGTCCTGGCCTCAAAAGGATTAGAGTTCTCTGGTTGTGAACCTGTAATCTTTTAAAACTCAATCTCGTTTGAATCAACTCTAAGTAGCATTCTGTGCCTGTAATAGAAATGTAGTAGTTTTGCCAGAAACTGAAACTTGATGGGTCAGTCTTAACTCACCTGGAAGAGACCCTGACAGAGAACTCGGGTGTGGCACATAACCCAGGGGGACAGATGCTGGTCCATGAACCACATAGTCATTGGTCATAGTTTCCCCATCTCCCTTCATGCGTGGACACAACATCCTCTGGCAGATAAAGTATATGGTTCCAGACACAAAAATGGTGACAATTACTCCAATTACTGAACCAACTGTATTGGTGGCCTGTGGTGCTGGCTCTTCAGTTGGATCTAAAATGAGAGACGCTGCGTTGTTATCTAATGGAAAAATAACAATACATTCAAAATAGCAACAGAAAAGATGCCAAGCTATAAACTTAAAATAACTTGTAAACAGAAAAACCCACAAAAATTTGTAAACATAATTTTTTTAATAGTGCATACACACTGTGCCCCAAAGTAAATGTGATCATTAGGAATCAAAATGACCTACCAACATCCTAGGAACTGTAGTTGTAAATTAATAGGAACAAAGATGGCAAATACAGATTTAAACACCATAAACTCATTTATGGATAAAATCTACTTCATTCTGCATATTAAAAAAATCAAAGTTATTTTGGAAGTTAAAGGATATTTTTAGGTCAGAAGAAATCAACCAAGAAACATTATCAAGTATTTCACATGGAATGGTGGAGAAGCCAAAAAAGCAGCTCTGAGTACCTGCTTGATTTCAGATTTAAGCGGTAACATTTAGGCCCAGGGAAGGAAAATTAGAAACTACAGATGAGCCTGAGGTCCCATGTGCTGCTGCCTTCAGCCTGTCTGCATGCCAAGAGCAAGGACTTGCAGAGAAAGCCAGGCCACTAGAGGAGGGTGCTGCCCAGGACAACCACCATCCCTAGATCCCAAAGCTACTTGAGCCTTGAAGAAGCAGAGGGTGCACAATACCAGAAGTAGAAGGAGAGAACAAGCAGGCTTATCAAATACAGACCATTAACCTTTCCTCAGAAGGAAAATTCTTCCATTCCAACTACTTAACTTAGATCTCACAATTGCAAATCCTTTTTAAAAAGCCTCTCTCTGCTTCTTCTTACCTCCAATCTCCAGCTGAACTCACCTATGATATATTATAACAAATAATCTATCAGAAACAAGTAAAAATGATAGCACTGTTACATAATGTATGGGGTAATCACTAACAAATTTAGTATGTGGAATGAGGCAGACTCTCTTGCTACCAATATTCCATGTTTTTTTATTCCTTTTTAGTGCTCTGGCTTCCTTTCCAAGCTTGAAGAACGAACGGTTTACAAGGCAAGAAGATCATGAATTTGTGGCCAGCTTAAACTACATAGTGAGACCTTATCTCAAAAAAACAGAATGAAAGACAGAAGGAAGGGAAAAGGAACAGTTTATATTTACTACCACTCATTCCAAGACTCTGGGTCATACCTTAACTCACTGAATTCAAGATCCTATCCTCACCCACAGCACTGAAACCGCTCTAACAAAAGTCTATGGTCTCAGAATTGCAACATTCAATAAACTCTTCATCTCACCGACCTCTTTACATATTCAATGGTGCTCGCTCCTGTTTTCTTATCAAAAACATGTGTTCAATAGCCTTCTAAGACATGAGTCTCTCCGTTGTATGATTTTGATTATTATTCTTTCTCTGCTTCCTTTTTTTGGGCTTCATTCTCTTCTGTCATTTCCCTGGGTTCATACTGACTATCTACTATTTTCCTCTTCTATTTATTCTCCTGAGAGATTTCATCTATTGCCACAGCTTTAACTATCACTGATAAATCGAAGAGCGCTAAATCTCTTTTCTGAGCCACAATTCCGTAAGATCAACAACTTCTTACCAGCTACAACAAAATAGTGCATGGGAATTTCTAATGCAAAATATTCCACACTGAGGTCATCATTACTGCCAACTGCCATTTTCCCCAGATTCCAGAAGTAGATCATAAATAAATGAAATATTCCAGTGGACAGTAAAGAATGATGGAATCCATGGCAAACCCTAAAGTGCATGCCTGCCTAAAGGCAACTGAATTAAATCAGAAGCAAAAATAAACTGACAGAAAACATCACCCTTGCTACATGTCTTAGTAACTCTGTTCACTCAGTGAGATATCTGTGGATCAACCTAAATTTATCAGCCAAATCTAATCCTTTTCATTTATGAAATTACTCTGACTCTATTCCTTCTTTTACCACCATCATTCCTCCTTTTGAGTGAGATCTTCATCATCTTCTGCCCAAATCATAATAGCCTAAGCACTTTTAAATTACAGACTACAAGTCATTAGTAGATGGTGAAAACAATTCAATGTTACAACTAGTATTTCAAGAAAAATAAATTAAGTAGAAAACATCACGATACAATCTACATCATTTGGGTAAATACTGTTGCGTCCCTTTGGGTCTTTACGCATGCATCCACATCTTTACATTCCTCTTGATGTGGTCCAAAGAACTCTGAAAACAACCAGTCTAACAGATTTCCACACGTATAACCTTACCACTGCCAATACATCTGCCCCATAGCGTTTGCATCTATCCTTTCTTAAAATTGTTGCTGACTCCATTGCGAATGGAATGCTGCCTAGGCTTTTTAGAAGCAAAGCAAAGTCCTCTAATATCTTACCTATGATCTTACAATATTATTATTTCTTGTTGACACCCCTTAACATATAGCTTATGTTTTGGCAGTCCCCCCTACATGCAGTTTCCCAAAGATGCCTGGTTTCACTCCTTTCTGCTTTTGAACAGGATAGTCCTTCTGCCTGGAATGCAATTTCTCCTCTTACTTGAACAATGAACACTTTCATTCATCAAGATTCAACCTAAAGTAGCATTTTTTTCTTTTTCTTTTTCTTTTTTTTT